CTGGGGCCAGGGACGGGACCTGACCCCAGGGTGTGTGATGGTTCTGAAGTAGAGATTTAGTCCAGATCAGGTTGCTTCACCTTGAAGCACATGATGACTTTGGTTTGCAGCTGAAGTTTTGTTTTGTACTTGTTAGCTGGTAGGTACACCTACAATGTTGGGAACAGTACTGTGCGTGGTGTTCATGAAGGATGCACCACATGCAGTCTGTTACTGTAACCCACGATGTTTAGTTTGGATTAGGCTCAGCAGCAACTCTATTAAGGCTGTTCAACTAAACTAAACTAAACTCACTCAGGGGGCCACAGTCACTGAAAGCCAAGAGCTCAGGGGCCGGACATCCAGCAGTTGTTCTCATTAAGTCAGTTTGTTTTATTGTTTAAAATCTATTTTATTTTAAATTAATCTATTGGTGAGCCGAACTGAGCTCATCCTTGTGCCTTATTTGGCCCCCGGGCCGTCAGTATCCCTGAACTGTGTCATAAATGTGTGCGTTTGCTTGGGTTGGGACCTGAAATGGTTCTTTTTACTATTTTCTACTATTTTTGGATCAAATATAATTTGTTAAATTTTTTTTCTTTCAGCTGCTCCCTGCGTTGGGATCGCCACAGCCAACTAACTCGCACGAAAACATGACAATTGTTTTTACTCTGGATGTCCTTCCTGACACAACCACCTTCCTTCCTCTAAATCATCCTCTAAAATAAATCATCCTGTAAATCATCCTCTAAAATAAATCATCCTGTAAACCATCCTCTAAAATAAATCATCCTGTAAAACATCCTCTAAAATAAATCATCCTGTAAACCATCCTCTAAAAGAAATCATCCTGTAAAACATCCTCTAAAATAAATCATCCTGTAAACCATCCTCTAAAATAAATCATCCTGTAAATCATCCTCTAAAATAAATCATCCTGTAAACCATCCTCTAAAATAAATCATCCTGTAAAACATCCTCTAAAATAAATCATCCTGTAAACCATCCTCTAAAAGAAATCATCCTGTAAAACATCCTCTAAAATAAATCATCCTGTAAATCATCCTCTAAAATAAATCATCCTGTAAATCATCCTCTAAAATAAATCATCCTTTAAAGCATCCTCTAAAATAAATTATCATGTAAATCATCCTCTAAATCATCCTGTAAATCATCCTCTAAAATAAATTATCCTGTAAATCATCCTCTAAAATATATCATCCTGTAAAACATCCTCTAAAATAAATCATCCTGTAAATCATCCTCTAAAATAAATCATCCTGTAAATCATCCTGTAAATAATCCTCTAAAATAAATCATCCTGTAAATCATCCTGTA